TGACTTAATACTAATGATTATTTAATACATATTGCAGGACTAAATGTATTTCTTTATTTTATTTGTGATCTTAGGTACTCTGTGTAGCACTGGAAGAGGATGGCGGCCACTCAAGAAATAAGATTTGTGTTTTTGCAAGATGGAGTTTTTCTGTTTAGGTCGACTGAAGCTTTTAGCAGTGTTTGTAGAACCCTTCTCGCCCTTTGGCAACCAGTATTCTTTTTGATCTTGTACCTACATCAGGAGTCTTTGAACTGTGCTCAGTTTGACCCCAAAGGGTAACGTTTGCCTCGTATACCACCAGAGTAGGCAATGGTTGTGGACCAAAGTGAGACATTTATCCTGAAATTCCATCTTTTGCCGATTGCTTCGGCTGTGTTTTTAAAAATGAGCCGTTGCATATTTGTGAGCATGTCCGATGAATAATACCAGAAACCTCTTTTTAGCAGAAAACCTCCAACATGTCCCATCGCTCTTTGTTATACAGCAGGGAACCATTTAGGTGATTCCATTATCTCCTCCTTGCTCACCCCTGAGGGATCTTCTTAACCCCATCCCTCGCCATGTCATTTGCCACCAGCAGCGTGTTGGCTGTGGAAATGGAGGGCACAGTCCTGTTTCTACACAGCGGTGCGCTATTCGGGATAATTATCGACCGTCCGAATGCATGTCAGCGAGTCTTAAAAGGAAGTACGGTCCACAGGCAAGTGACCATGCCTATCGTCATGTCCAGCTTTAATTTTCACATTCAATCTAATGAGCTGCTCTTCTTTTTGTGGGCTACATGGACGGGATTGCCGCAGTTCTCGTCAATTAATTCCTCAATCTCTAAACGAAAATGCTCTTGTTTGATCGGCACTGCATTAATTCCCCCGTATGATTAACGGCAGGAAATTGGCTTGTGGAGGGAAATGATATGACCGATGAGACCGGTGTGATTATTCTGATTGTCTGGACATCAGCACAGTATTTCACTCCGCTCCACTGACCTTTCGGCCTTGCCGTTGGCCGTCTGTATGCAGGAGAAAGCGTCCCAGGCATAACACGTGTACCATCTAGTGAGTTCAAGACACGCAATCCTCGGTTTTAAGTGGTACGCGCAGCACCTTCTGATGCACATTTCAAAATAACGGCATGCATTAACATGAGTTTAAATGGGGCCTACTTGAGGCGATGCATCTGGCGGACAATAAAATGGATTTATCGCTGCTTTTCCCATTTTGCTCTGATGAATAAGCTGCTTTGCAGACATATTAAACCTCCCCTAGCTCTGTCCCTTCAGCCATGATGCATTGTCTGGTGCTGTGCATCGTCTCTCCATTTCATCCCTGAACTGATTAAGGCTTTGGAACAGCATAGAGGCACCACAGGAACAGTATTGACAGAGCAGCCACTCTGAAAGAGGCGGACTGTCACTGTGTGTGGAGACTATTCATCGTAGGACGGTTGGCTCTCCCTTTGGTCAGGGAATCAGGACGTCAATAACTCAATCCATGTGAATGCAGGTGTGAATTCTGCATCTGTGCTTGATGTGAAATGACAAAAAAACATTTGCTCCACTACTGACTGCTCCTACTGCTCCCCCGCTGTGTCGAGTTGTCATCTTGGATATAAAATTCCAGTAAACGGTATTTCTTTTTCAATGTTGTGCTGTGGTCAGCGTGGATATTGATGGTTACATTTCCCGGCGAAAAGCATCTCCTCATCCAAATAAATCAACTGGTAAACAAAGCCAATGCTGCTGAGACTGTGGCTCAACAGGAGCCACTGCACGGATGCGGGCTATAAAGCAATTTTAGGGATTTATCATTAAACCGCCCCTGGGAATTTTGACACCCGTGTACATTCTAGTCCCGGCACGTGGAGGAAGAATCGTGTTGTGGTTGTTTTTTCTTTGTCCCAAAGCAAATCGCAGTCTGAATCCCTACTGTGTGTGTGTGTGTGTGTGTACGTGCGTGCGTGCGTGCGTGTGATGTTTGCACAGCATGTGGGTGTGGGTGTTTCTGCATCTGAGAACATTAGACACGGTTGAAATTTTCGCTTGAGGAGAAAAGTTGCTTTCTAGTTAATACATCTGACCAATACATCACCAAAAATATTTTTAGTTTTTAGTTTCCAAACAAAAAAAGTTCATAAATACATCTCCATGTGTTCTCCTTCAAGATTACAGCATGTCACGCATTGGTCCATTTCAAAGTCATATGTATGCCGGTGCGTATGTATGCCTGTGCATCATTTAATCATCATTAAAACCCGGGTGAAGATCCTCGGGAGACACGGAGCCGCTGGATGTTCTGCCCGCAGATATTACAAGCGACGCAGCGGTTTGCACACAACTGAAGACTATCGTTGGCAGGTGCTGGGGCAATAAGAAGATGCCGATGAAATACATAAACAAGTGTAGACGCACACAGTAACTACCTGCAGGAATAACAATGTTTTTATTACATCCTTTGCTAAATTAGGTACATTTGTATCATCAGGCTGAGTTTTGGTACCACGCATACTTATTAACCCCAACAGAAAAGTCTAAAATAGGCAATTTGTCTTTTTTTAAGGTGAGTTTAAAATGTTTTTCATAGATCTTGTTTTTAGAATTTAGAAATAACCCGTGCACACACCTTTCATTAAGAGCAGCCCTGTGATGTTCCCAACAGACCAGCCCGGATTTAGGGAATTGAGACGGGACAGCTGAAGAGGGCAAAGCAGCGACTATCACTGTCGCTATATATTATATATATATATAGGCAAGGCAAAGTCACAAAGGAAATGGGTTTGTAATTTGCTGTGTTTTTTCATAGAGTGTAATTTGCTGCAGTAGCTTCGCCTCCTTTGGGAAGTACCGTAGCTACGCCTAAGCTCACTGTCACTTCCTAAACTTAAAAGCCTGGTGATGATTGTGACCCTGGCATTTCCTATAGTCGCTGCTTTGCCCTCTTCTGCTGTTGGGAAGATCAAAGGGCTGCTCTTAATGAAAGGTGTGTGCACAGGTTATTTCTAAATTACGCGCCCCTAGGCGGAGCCGTCAGATGAAAGGGCATAAATCTGCAGAGGAGAGGGGAGGGAAAGTTGGCAGATGAGATGGCAGATGTAAACTTTTCCAGGACAATGGCCAGTGAGATCCAGCAGAGCATTAGCGCAGCGCAGCAAAAGTAAAGTGCTCCTAATAGCAGTACATCTTTCCTGCTTTTTATCTTCACTTTTGCTTTCTCACAATATTAAGACTCTATGAGCCTTTAACTCTCTCCCAGAGAGAGAATAGAGTGAGAGGGACAAAAGTGGAAGTCTAGGCGGCTTCCTGTGCGCTCCAGCCCTCTGTTTTCCTCATGGGGAGCCAGAGGTTTCCTCCCGTGAGTGATGGGTTCGTTTTAGGGCAAATGGAGAATTCTTTCCCCCGCAATCTGAAAGGGGACATTAGTAAGATTGGCTTTTTTTCTGGTCTATCAGTGCTATCCAAAATCTGATCTCTCTCCCACTCACACACACACACACACACACACACACACACACACACACACACACAGACACACACAGAAGACTTGGCCGGGATGTGAAGCCCAGTGAGTGAGCTCTGTAGCAGACGTCCCAGACCCTCAGCTCAACCCTGCCCGCAGGACGTGGTCACACCAAGGGGAGGAGGCAACGATCGGCCCTATTCAATAATACATCGACTGCATTAAAGCGCATGAATAAGTCATGGGCGGAAAGAACCCAGTCGTCAGGATACAGATACACACACACACACACACACAGCAAAACAAAGATATATCTACTTCTGCTGGTCAGGCTCTGTCTTTGACCCACAATCTCTCTCTCTCTCTCTCGTAATGGCCTTTTTTCCTACGGGTGAAATAAATAACTTATATCTATGTGTCGTCAGGCTTAGTGAGGACCGTTTGAATATAAATAGTTAATTTGCCTCCATAGTGCAGCCCTCGCTTACATACATATATTTGTAATTACTGACGCTGCAGACCATTTCAATGCTGCGTTAAAATGACACAAATACAAGCGCTAACTATGCCGAGGAATTGAATGGGAGCAGTGCCTTGTTGGGAGTTCCTCAAGGAGGTGCAGCAAGGGAAAGGAAGGAGCTCCTTGTTTTTGCTAACAGAAGTGTGTCAGACAGGAATGCCCTGGCAGCAGTCCTCTCAAAGACACTCACAGCCCATCAACCCACGTGAAGATTTATCCTCCCTGAATACAACGGATTAATGTTTGCTTCTTCTGATGACCCCTGTCAGGATCTCCGATCACCCCGAGTTGGTTGATGAGAAGAATCGCAGCACGTTGATCAATCAAAGTAAAAAAGTTAACATTTATTTAGAAGAGAAAAAGATTACATGAGCAATTCTTCGCAGATATCTGGCTCTAACTATTGCTTGCAAGCAGGAGGTCCAACACACCAGCACGTATCACGGTGCTCTGTGGAAATGACGTCTCCGAGCAGTAAAAACGCTGAGTTTTTATACAAATGTGGAGGACATTCTCCGTGCCAGTTACGAGAAGCTACAAAGCAGGTTGAGATAAGAACCCAGGTGAAGCTGAGGGTAACACACGCACACACAAGATTCTCCTCAGTGGCCGGTACAAATCATAATTAATTGACATAAAGTAAAACTTGGATCCTGAACTTTTGTACCGAATAAGATATGAACCAAGGCCATGAACAGAAGTCCTTTGTTTTGAAGCGTCTATGAGCTTGAGTTGACCGCTCTCCCTTCTCAGGACACAGCTGCAAAGCAACATTTTGTATCATGCTGCTCTTTGCACATCAGGGTCAAATACAGGACACTTGAGACACGGCTTTAGCACAAACAATGTTATAATATATTTTACCACTACATGCATCTCACACCCCCTAGTTGGAAGATTTACCCCCTAAGACAACCACAAAACGAAATAAAACTCCCATGAAATAGAGACTGAAGTCTCAAAACCACATATGCACACCTACTTTACTGCGAAATAGGTCTAACTTTCCTGTTTTGTTTTCGCAGGCTACCAGAGCCGAGGGCCGACCCCGTGAACCCACGAGGCTTTGACGACAACGACTCTGGACCGTCCATGGACCACGCCCCCTGAATACCAGCAGACCAGACTCCTACTCACCCGTCCCTCAATGTGTACTCCAGCCATCGGCCCCGCTGAGCTGTCAGCCCCCCCCCCCCCCCCCCCCCCCCCTCTGTCTCTCTCTCTCTCTCTCTCTGTCAGCCTTTCCCCCCCTGAAGAGGGCTGATGTGACAAATATGGATGGCGACGTCTTTTCTGTGCTCAAACTTCTTCTTTTTTTCACTAGCTACTAACTTCCATCGATTTGAAGTTTCGGGCGATCAATTACCATCAGGCTCAATTTCCACAGCCAGTCAGATCCTTGGCTTACTGGTGAGCCTGGCAGACTCTGGGAGGAGTCTGGGTAGGCAGCCGAGCGCAGCGTCGGTTAAGCCCGACAGATGTCAGAAACGGGGGCGCTCCGTAGCGCCGCTCTCTTCACAGCCGTGAACAATGTCGCTCTGTTTCTGTCATTGTGACAGACATTCGGACGCTCCTTGGAACATAATTTCCAGATGCTGCAATGCCTTATGTCATCGAGAGATCGTTGAAAGGTGTTCTCTGTGTCATGTTTGATTAAGAAGAAAAAGAAAAAAAATATGTGTCTTGTGTTTTATAATGTTGTACTTTCCATCACCGTGTGCCGATTCTTTATGCTCGTGTATTGGAGCGCACTTCCTTGTGTGCTTATGTGTGAGTCTTTGTTAGGTGAAAATCAAACGTGCACAAAATAGCTCAGCTTTCTATTTAGTGTGATGTACAAAGGCTCATTCCCCCTGTCCAATGCATAGGGTGTGTGACCGATCGCCATCCAGACGAGCACACGCACTTTCCACCTTGACCCACTCGGCCGCGGCGTTCGTTCGTGATGTACAAGTGTGTCCATGTCAGCGGTTTGTTTTCTTTAACGCGATTGATTCTGTTCTGCTTTACTTTCTGAATTGAAAGCGGTGTCACCCATCATACGTGGCACATGTTTGACAAAGACATCGCTTTGCCCTGAGAGGAATGTCTGCGTGTCAACAGCCTATTGAAATGACTCTGAAAAGAAAAGTGAAACAGCAGACACAAGTTTGACTGTCTTTGTCTATTTTTTTGTTTTAAATGCATAAATAAACAACCAGTTTCTGAAGATGACATTCACACTTTTGCCAAACTCTACAAACACCTCAATGTCATCAGTCATCCAAGAAAGTAATGTAAAAAATTAAAAAACGGTAAGCATGCGGCGACGGACGGAGACGAGAGGAGAGATGACGCGCTGTTTAGAAGGGATTCGAGGGAGGCGCCCATCTTGATCAGACTGGGAGTAGTAGGTTTGGGAACAAACAAAAGGGTGTTGATGGAGCAGGAGAGCCCTTCGGGGTCTCTTCTTTTCCGCAGATGCACTTAAATGTCGCCAGGTTTCATTCCTACGCTGCCAACAGAAGCCAGAACCCACTTTCATCAACTTGAAGCCTCAATCACTAAGCCTTTCTCTCGGGGCAGCTCGTTTTTCTCTCTCTCGCTTTGCTCTTTTCGCACTGTGTGTTTCTCGCTCCCTTCTGCTACGTCCGCTTCGTCAAGCCAAGGATGCTTCTGCAGCATTTCTGATATTGACGCGTGGAAACCCGTTTAGCCAGTGGTCATTGCTGTCTGGCTGGTAACACGTCTGGGTTTGCGTTCTCTGGTGAGTTTCCCTTTACAGAAATAATGGGGCTTAATGACTTACCGCATGAGGCATTGATCCTTCAGCATTCACTAAGCCACTGCTGACTGACCGAGCGCCAGAGCACTCAAACCCCTTTTACAGATTTTTTTTTTTTTTTGGTTATTTCTTAAGTGTGTTATTATGTTTCCACCCCCTTGCCATTAGAGAGCGGCTGGCTTTCGGATAATGATCATAGGCCGTCATCTCCGACTAGAAGTCTGGTGTGATCAAAGAACTGAGAAACAAACCTGATCGATGGGGACAATGTGCCTGTTGTCTGTGGAGGAAATGGAGAGGAGAAGATTGTCAGATCTAATTCAGCCGGGGAGAACACAAGGTTCCCCTTTTTACACACACAATTACACCTGCTCTCGCAGGTTCACTTCACAGAGCATCGTCACAGGGGGGCGTAATGAACACGAGCCCCGTTTTAAGACGTGCAACTTACCGCGTGGGCAAAGACTTTTGTGTTTGTATTGACGTGAATGAATTGCCTCACGGGTTGTGAGAATGAATTAGCTACGTGACATGCTTGCTAGTGGTCACGCAGCTTTGATTGCTGCCTTTTTAATTGAGCCCGCCACATTAAAGAGACAGTCGGTGTCTGCGGTTACACGGGAACGGAGCAGCTCCAGCACCCAGCGACCCACCAAGACTTCTGTTCATTAGCGGGCGAGAGCCAAGAGAGAAATGCGAGCTGTCTCGTACGCGCAGACCACAGGTCAGAGTCCGTGTGCGTGTGGTCTGCGAGAGGCCAACACCTCTTGTACCATTCAAGAGAATGTATTCCTCGTCTCACAGCAGATGCACTTTCTTATTCATCTTTCCCTTTGGCCTCTACTCTCTCGCATGCACACACACACACACACACACACACACAAAAGAAATGTGTATCAGCCGAGATTAAAGCCTGGATTTTTACATTTTCCACCTCTCACTGAAACACGGATGACTTTTCACAATATGTGACACCACTCGTTAATCCATGAGTTTGAACATTTTTCATTCCTTCTGTGGGTTTCCAATGTGTTTGAAATGCATTTTGGATATAAATGGGACAAAGTAAGCCAATAAAATGGACAAAAGAAGTACTTGATGCACGCAAGCGTTTTTGATTCCATTTTTAATTGGAACCCTCACTTATAGCTTAGTTCGTTTTGGATAATGAGGATAAAGGGCCCCTTAGAAAAAGCTAATGGAAAAATCACGTTGTCTCACGTTGACATCCAGCCTGCGTGAAGGTGCACACGGATTATGGGCCATTCCAGACTGACTGGCAGCAGGTATCTCTCAAACGTCTCAGGTACAGACCAGCTGACGCCACCCATCCGTCTTACATCCCCAAGTCAGCAAAGAGAGACCTTCCGACTTTTGTCTCCTAATTTCTGTGCAATCGTTTCCCGTCTCAGCATCCTACTTGAACAAGTGAATAAATTGTAGAGGAGGAAGAAGACTGAAGGGGATCCTGTTAGCAAAAGAGCAGCATATGGGCATGCTCGCCAGGGTTTGAAATTATAGTACTTCAGTGTGCAAGGGGGAGACATGCGACGTGATAAGGATCTCGAAGGCGTGAATGCAGTGGAAAGCAGCCGGGATTTTTGCTTTCCTCCAGCTGATAGCGGGGCGCGGCTCTGAATAAAATGAACATCCCCGCCTAGTTAAGACCTACGGTTGTTCCTTTGGGGAGCTGTAATACATTAGACTCTCTCTGTCACAGCCGTGATGAATCATCCTCACAGAAAGGATGAATGTAGAATGCAGAGTGGGAAGTGAAATATAGCCTTTGCAGACTCGCCAGGGCTCCAAAATCTCAGCCCAGAGGTTTGTGGAAGCGAAAACAATATACCTTTTATATTGTAACATCGAAACGCAATGTTACATTTCTCTGTTCACACATATGCGTCTACATTGGCCATCAATGCGTTGTGTCATAATCCTCGAGATGAGTTTGATGTCCGCCTTCACTAACTGTTCAGTGCAGCCTGCCAACTTTGCTTGCTCCACCCATGTATCCTTGCTCACGCCTCCCATCACTCATGCCGTGTACGCCGCCCCTCCCTCGCTCGTTGCTCTTCTGGAGCTTGTTAATTGCGTCAGTGACACCGGTCCGCTTGTGGAGCAGTAGCAGTAATTGCTCCGGCCTGGTCCGAGGTGACGGAGGGGGCATCCGTCTGGCCTTTCGGGTCGCTTTACTTGTTTGTCCTCACCCTAAAACAGGGAGCTCAAATACCATCGCTTTGCATAATGTGTGACTTGCGCACACACACAAGGGTGGATGAGAGTGTCAGTGGCCCCCATTATTCAAGCTGTTCTAGAAGAGACTGGAAAGGATGCGATTAATTTATCCTAATTAAATCCAAGGCAACATTTGGATGGAAACCAGGGAAATCCGTTGACCGTTAACATATACGACACCCAAAAGGCTGCCGGTCATTAAAATGGAATGTGTTAGGGATTTAAGCCAGAAGTGCACCCCTAGTCAGGAAATTATAGTACGTGTAATAATGTTTAGTGTTAGAATTATAGTTTGTGTGATGTTAGATATTAGGTATTACATTAACATGTTAGATGAAGTGAATGCAATTTCAATCAAACACAATTCATAGTCATTTAAATCATATAAACACTGCACACATTAACATTCTGTCACAATGTGATGTTAAAACCTGGGGACGGATGCCAATTGCCATCCTTTATGGATTTCTCCCAATTTTATCCCCAAAGAGGGTTTTTTGGGAGTTTTTTCTCCTGTCAGGTAGTAAATGAACAACTTAATGTAAGGCAGCCAAAGGGGGGAAATGTCTTGAGAATTGGACCACATGAACGGTCTTAGATCTTATGATGAAGTGTGATGAACGGGGATCATTAATGATGGGTTGTTGTAATTAAAGTATACTAGTTATAAGATGAAGAATTAAACTATGCATGCTTTGTTAAATTCACTCATTGAGGCATAAAGCCAACTGTATCTACATTGAGTGCATTGGAATGTGAGGGACAGATAGTACAGTGAGGTTTCAGGTTACAGCTGCAGCTTCACACCTCGACGTGAAGGGGACAGTCCAGGAGGGGACACTCTGAAGAAGAAGCCAATGACATTCAAATGCACCAAGGAAGACACACCTCAAGAGTTTTCAAAGGACCAAAGTGAGGAAAAGACTGTTAGAATTCTCCTGCAGCCGCTTTGATAAGTCGCTTTAGACTTGCTCAGAGGATTCTCTATTTCGCGAAATATTTTACTGTTCGCTTAGTATTTCACTTTGTAATTGCATTCCTTATAACGTTGTTTAGTTATTAAATACTTTTTAATTTTTGAATTTAAACGAATTTACTCATTCGTGTCCTCGTTTCCGGCCGGGACGAGAACAAAGGAGTGAGGCCTCCCTCGAGAGCTTTCCGAAACCCTAACATTTGGCGCCCAACGTGGGGCTCTCGATTGGGGGAAGACGTTGCTGAGAGGTTTGACTGCAAGTACCACGGTGACAAACAAGGTAAAACAGAACCTTTTTCATGAATTCTGTGATAGGTAGATTTAGGAAAATTTAGAGTGGTGCTGGCAGTCGGCCATGAGGCAAGGCCTTAGATGCTAAAGACTAAAGGCTAGTGCATTAATGACTTGGGTGAATATAATAAGCTGATATTGAATAACAGTAGGTGCATACTTTTGCAAAGTGAATGCGAATGGGAGCCGGCTGTTAGAAATTCCAAACACGTGCGTTTGGTGCGTTCAGGTACACACTTTGAGCGTTAGAAAATCCAGTCGGCGAACTGGTCTGCTGAGACATAAAGACCAGCAGGATAAATTCATGCAAGTAGACCCGTATGGGATTGGTTAGGGGGTTCGCATGAGGTGTGACGATGCGCATGTTGTCCACTAGGTTTCCCACAATAATTACGGTGTCTTTAGAGAAGACTCTTCTCTTCATTTCCCCTCTCTGTGCATAAAGTCCTTCACAATTAGGTATTGCAGGATTTTAATAGATTGGGGGGGGGGGCTTGCTCAACAGGATTGGGTTACGGGAAAATCCAGCGACGACTGGTTAAGTTTATGATTACGGGTCTGTACGTGAATTGGACAAGGGATGGTCAAAGGACTGACCTGGGGCCTGTTGGTTGCTGAGACCAGCGGCTCCTCAGGTGAGATGTTCTTTTTACCACAACGTCTAGAGGGAACAGTCAATCTAAGCGACTTGGAAGTAAGAACAGGAACAACCAACGACGACAATGAGGATCCATTTGACGCCGTCAGAGGAGTCTTCTGGGAAGCAATGTGAAGCGTCTGGCCCACAAAAACAAGCATAACTGTCCTGGCTGCACTAGAGATGAAGCCAGCAGAAGAGATGTTCCAGTACTTGAGGAGAGCAGAGACAGAATGGCATTTGGCCACAGGAGAAAGACACGACAATAACAAATCTACTGCAGTAATCTGGCGACACACTGTGCAGCAAGGCTTGCCCCAGGCTGTTCAAACAGCGTTGTAGGGAGTAGTGGGACTGGACAACATGGATGAAATCACATGGAGAGACCATCTAACCCACTTCTACAAAATACAGAGAGCTGCGGAGACAAGGAGGCAAGAAGAACTGGGGACGATGACGCATCGACTCCTGAAGATCCAACTGGCAGCGGTTGATGCAGGTGACAATTGCAGGTGACAGACGAACAACCCCAATACCCCGTTCCTCCAGAGGCCCAATATCCAGCCCCAGCAGTCAGAGACCGTTCAATGGTTGACCAGCAACCACCACCTCAGCGCAGAGGCAGAGGACGTGGAAATAATAGGGGAAGAGGAGATGAATGCTACTTATGCGGACAGACGGGTCATTGGTCAAGAATATGTCCAACGAACATGCAGTTCAGTGCAGCTCCTCCACGGTCTTCCCGTCAAATGCAGCCCCGGCAGGACCAGAGGGTCCACCTCACCTCCACCCCCTCATGCAAACCCCAAAGCAGACGAGGCCCTAAACAACTAACTGGTGACACACCGACCCCCGCTGCTTTCCAACAGCTTAGATAAGCACCCTCAGCCTCCACGGTTTACGACTCACATTCCAGGTAGAAAAAGGGAGACTAGATATTATAGACTGCTGAGAGTGTCAGTTGAAACTAGACTAAAACCCGTAGGGAAGATTGATTAAAAAAAGGGGAAATCAGTCATAGAAAATTAAGACACAAGGTTGTGTACGATTTAAAGGAGGAATGAAGGTGATAAGGAATTAGGGGAGTTGTTGTATATATTGTCCGTATGTTGTATTAATGTTTGTAGTTTTTCGAGTTTCCTCCTAAATTCAGAGACGGGCGGTAAATTGTTGAGTGCTGCTATTGAGTGCATAGTGCACGATACACTTGATACAGTATCTTGATGATGGAAACAAATGTCTGATCAAAGGAACATTGATAGCACCAGTACACGAAATATGGAAACTTGTTACAGACGGTCATCCTGTAATGTTCAACAAGTAGTACACCCTTACATTTGGATACGCTAACCATGAGAGGTTGGTGATCTATCAGTGATGAATGAATAGATTGGATCAAACTAAGCATGAGCTGAGTTTGTATTTGCAGGTAACAGACATGTCTCCCACCCTCTGCTTTGCTTTTGGGCTGAAGAGCAATAAAAGTGGAGATTACATTACATTACATTACATTACATTACATGTCATTTAGCTGACGCTTTTATCCAAAGCGACGTACAATAAGTGCATTCAACCATAGGGTACAAACTCAGGAAAACAAGAAACAAGAAAGTGCAATTTCCTCAAATAAGCCAATATACAATTTGCTATAGATGAGTGACGTTACAAGTACAATTTAAGTGCTACAGTTTGTTAGTCTTTAGTCGAGGTAGAGTCTGAAGAGGTGTGTCTTTAGTTTGCGGCGGAAGATTTGAAGGCTCTCTGCGGTCCTGATTAACACTGGAGGGGGGTCTGGAACAGATGGGTCTGATGCTAAGTTGATTTATTATCTCCTGGTACTTTTTGGGATCAAGGGACTCACACTCTTCATTGTTGTTTTATGGCCCTGAAGGGTTTGGAGAACCTTGGTTGATATCACCGGGGTTTGAGGTTCAAATTCGAATACATTG